GCTCTGCGGGGTCATCTTGCGGGGGAGGGGGTCAGTCACGCTGGTGGGCACAGCTGGGTTTGGGGTGCAATGGGCGGTTTTGCTCTGTGGGGACCTGCCCAGGCTGGGCAGCCTGGTGGTGCTCACCCTCTCCCCATGCCCCAGCAGGGCTGGAGGGGATGGCTGGGGGACTGCGCCCTGGTATGGTGCCATCCATGGGGCATGGTTGATGTCAGGCCTCCCTATGAGGGGCTGGAGATGCCCCCTTTTTGGGGCTGGTGTGGACAGGAGACAGGTACCCGGGGTACTGACCGCCTTCGGCTTATGCCTGCTGTCCCTGTCCCTGCAGATAGCGAGGGGATCCTTATGCACAACCCCATGAAATGAACAAAGCTCCACAGCCCACAGGAGGAGCCCCGACAGCCCCGCACCCTGCCCCTTCTCCTGGACTACCGCAGGTAACTGGCCCCTTTGGGGTGGCGGGGGGGACACCCAGCTTTGCCTCCCCAGTTCGTGCTGGGGGCGGCGGTGCCATCTCCTTCCCTTCCTGCTTCCCTCCAGCCGACGTTCCCACCTGGTCAGACGGCACCTGTGGTTTTTAACCCGGCACCGACCTCACAAATGAATACGCCTTCTCAGCCGCGCCAGGTAAGGGCTTTGCTCTGGGTTGGAGGGGACGATGCAGGGGGATCCAGCAGCTTTCTGCCTCCTGGCCGAGTAGCCCTCACCACCGCGGTGCCCAGGGGTGCGAGGAGCCCCGTGGTGCCCCTCAGGGCTGGCGTGCGCCTGTGATCCGCACCACGACCGCTGCTTGGGGACTTCCTGGCCCTGGGGGGGGAGGGGGCAGACACCTCCAGCCAGGGCTGCCCACCAAGTGACTGCTCTTCTCTCCTTCCTCCCTTGTCCCAAACCTTCCTCTCCTCCTCTCTCAGTTTCCAGCAGGGCCTCGGGCTATTCACCAGCAGGTACTAACCGACTCCCAAACCCCGCATGCCAAGCACCCTGCCCTGACACTGCACAGAAACACCCACCCGGGGCATGAAGGGGCTGGGGAGCACATGGGGACCCCAGAGCTGCGGGATGGGCTTGGTCTGGGGAAAGTGGGAGACACTCGCTCGACTTTGGGGGGGTTTTCCTGCAGTGTCTCCCCAGTTTCCTCCTTGCATGAAGCCTGCAGCACGTGGCTGTGCCTGTGCTAACCCTGTCCTAGGCTGCTCCTTTTGCCTGTGCCCTTCCTCGTCCTCCTCTTCCTCCCTACTTTGTGGGGGTCTCCCAAGGCCCTGCGGTGCCATGCAAGGCTATGGACCTCCGTCAGTACCTCTTGTGTGGAGGAGCTGCTGGGGACAGATCTGGTGACGTCCTTGGCTCTGTTGGCTGGGAGCCCCTCAAACCCTTCCCTGCCTCTTGGGGGGTCCCTACGGGGGACTCTGGTGGATTTGGGATGTGGGCAGCAGGCAAAGGGCTCTCCAGCCTTCTGTCCCCTCCTCTGCCAGCCACCCTGTGTCTAAGCCCTGTCCCAGTGCGGGTAACTCCTGTCTCTCTCTTTCCCCTTTTCCCTCTGTACGTGTGTGCTTGCTAACAGGGAGGATTCAGGTCTCTTCAGGTAATGCTTTCTCCTTGCCCCAGGGTGTGTGTGCGGACCCTTCCTTGCCCACTCGCTGCTGGGCTTGAGCTGCTGCTCTGGGGGATGCCTCTGCCCGGCAAAGAAGCCGGGTTGGGATGAATGGTGTGGGCCAGGGTGGGAATAGCCAGCTCTTCACACCCTGGTTGTCCGGCTCCGGCATGGCTCGGCACAGTGGGACTACATGTCCCAGCATTCAGTGCGAGCACCGGGAACCAGTGTGAAGCACGCCGGGACCTGCCGCTGAGCTGCGTGCGGCTGTGGCCGGCTCCAGGCGCTGGAGCTACCCGCCCTGTGAGGTTGGGATGGGCCGTGCTGGGCATGAGCTGGGTCGGGTGGACCCAGGTGGCCCCGCAGGTGCGTGGGGACAGGACGGTGCCAGGGTGGGGGGCAGCTCTGGGGAGTGTGTGGGGGGGGCTGCATCCCGGTGGTGGTAGTGGGGGGTGTGTATCCCCCCCCCATGTGCATTGGTGCCGGCTGTCGGGTGCTGGTGCTCCACCTGATGCCGTGCCCCATCTCTCCCCAAGCATTTCTACCAGAACAGGGCGCAGCCTCCCGCCAGCGCGTCCCGTGTGCAGAGTAACACGACGGCCCGGCCCGGCCCCCCTGCCCATGTGTATCCAGCTGCTTCCCAGGTGATGATGATACCCTCCCAGATATCCTACACACCTTCCCAAGGAGCCTATTACATTCCCGGACAGGTGAGGGCCATGCCCTGGGCTCTGTGGGAGGGGGCTGGGGTGGGCACTGGTGGGGGCTGTTGATCAGGGTTGGAGACCAGGTCTGGTTTGGGAGGGTGGAAGGGGTCCCCCAGGCGCTCTGAGCACCCACTGATTTGAGCGGGGCTCTGTAGAGAGGCAGCGAGCAGTGCTGATTCCCCTCCCTGGTAGCCCCCCGAGGCGCCTGGTGCCCACTTTGTCTGCATCCTGCTCCCTGCCCTGGTGCCCAGCTGGTTCACAGGCAGGTTTGGGGGTACATCCATGGTTTGGGGTATGTCCGTGCCCCACAGGGGAGGTAACTGACTTTTCTTCTCTCCCATTGCAGGGTCGCTCCACGTACGTTGTCCCAACCCAACAGTACCCGGTCCAGCCCGGTGCCCCTAGTTTTTACCCTGGAGCCAGCCCCACAGAGTTTGGGACTTACGGTACAGATGGGGGGGTTGCTCTGCTCCTCAGTGCTCTTCCAGCCCCAACACCCCTACCTTTTTTTTTTCTCCCCTGCCTCTGGCCTCCTTGCAGTCCCCTGCATTCAGGAGCTGAGCACAGACCCCCTCTGCCTTTGCCAGCTCGCTGAGGTCATCTCTGTGACTATTAGACTCCGTTTTGGGGAGCAGGGGGTGTTGCCTGTCTCCCAGCAGCACTGAGGGCTGTGCATCATGTCCCACCGGTCCATCCACCCCTGCCCTTTTCCAAATTGGGGCTGTTTAATGTTTAACTCTCCTGGCTGAGGGCCGGGGCAGACTTTATCCCCTGTTCCCCCTCGCTCACCGTCAATGCGGTGAAGAGTTTTGTGCTTGCTGACCCTGCCTCAGCTCCCTGCTCCGCAAGGAGCCGAGCCTGGGGTGCTGGGGCTGCTCCATGCCTGCCCTCTCCCGGTGCTGGGGAGCAGCAGTGTGAGCAGCCCCCCCTTCTTCCCCCCGCCTTGCATGTGGCCACCCAGGCCGTGACTATATTTAGGCTTGGTTGGTCCTGGGAGGCCCGGCAGACACAGAAATGTGAGCCGAGGCCTCTGGCCCAGCCCCGGCACAGCAGCAAAGCATAACCGGGGCAGAGATGGGCTTCTCCTGAGCCAGGTACGTGCCCGTCCTCCCTCCCTCTTGTCCCAGGGCCTAGCTGGCCCCTTGGAGGAGGGAGGTGGCCCCCAGCGGCAGCTGGCTCCCGCACTTGGGCCAGGGCATGGCCACTCCTTTGTGTCTGGTGCTGGGGCATCTCCTGGGTGTCTCTGTGGGGTCCTGGGATGGGTTTGCCCCCCTGCCTCTGCTTTGGGGCTGTGGCTGTTCCCAGGGGAACTGGCAGCAGTGTGCCCCTTGCCTGCAAGACTGGGTGGGTGGCCTCAATGGGTGAGACGGGCCGGCCCTCCTGGTCTCGAGGGCTGGGCAGCTCGGTCGGGCTCTCCCTCCCTCCTCCTGTGCCTGGCCCATCCCGGGGTGTGAGGCCCATCTGGTGCCCCTGTATCTCCCCTGGGCACAGGGAGGGGTCCCTGGCTCAGGGATGGGGCAGTCACCAGAGCACCTTGGGCAAATTCCAGGCTAGCTGCAGCTGGGAAGGCACTGGAGCTGGAGGGGGCTGGGGCCCCGCTGTGCCTGTCTCCCCCCCACGCCCACATCTCTGTGGCACACTCTGGGGCATGCCCTGGGAGGAGCGGAGCACCTCTCGGGGGTTGTGCCAGCCCTGGATGGGGTCCAGCTCTGCCTCCAGCCCCCGGCACAGCTCCTTCCTCTGGGCTGGGCTCAGGCTGCACGGGGAGCCCAAGCCCCTCGGCCTGGGTGTGAATGGAGGGTGCAGATGAGGCTGCCTGGTGCCGCCCTCGGGCTGGTGCCGGCCCCAGGGAGATAAGGGTGCTGGCAGGAAAGCGGCCACCCGCAGAGCTGGGACGCCTATACCGGCATGGCTGAGTGTCCTGGCATGGCTGTCGGTGGTGTGGAGCCGGTGGGCATGGCGGGTGCCTGCGGGGCCTGGCTGGGTGTGGGGGTGGCGCGGGGACGCTCTGCTTCACGGGGAAGGAATTTGGTCAGGCCTGTCAGGCGGGTTGGGACGATCCGGGCCGGATGCGATGGCACGCTGCAGAGCGGCACGGGCACCCCAGGCTCCTGACAGACCCCTGTGTTTGGGGGATTGGGGAGTCCCCAGGACGGGCTTGGAGGATCTGGGTTGGCCGGTCTGACGCTCTCTCCTCTCCTCCAGCGGGTGCTTATTACCCAGCACAGGGGGTGCAGCAGTTCCCGGCGGGGGTCCCCACCGCCCAGGTCATAGTGAGCCAGCAGCCACCAATCCCCCCAAAACGAGAGCGCAAGACGGTAAGGAGCCATCCACCTCCAGGCATGGGGGTCTTACATGCGGGAGGGGACGGGGCCAGCCCTGGGTGTCCACGGTGTGCAGGATGGGATGTGGTGCAGCGTGCCAGGGAAGGGGGGTGGCAGCGTGGGGCCATGCCACCCCAAGGCTGGGGGGCTCAGTAAGGGAACTGGGGTGTGTGGTGGGTGCTGGCGACCTTGGCCGTCCCGGCGGGCAGTGTTGTGCTGAGTCACAGCTCCCGGGGGGGGGCGGGGGTGCCGCGGCTGCCAACTGCTGTCTGCTCCCGGAGATGCCGGTGCTTGGAGGCCTCGCGTGGGGCCTATTTATAGCGGGGAGCCAGGCAGCTGCCGGCACGGCCCCGGGCAGGGGGTGCTGCCAGGCTGGTGAGGGGGGATGCTGGCATTTCATCGGCAGAGGGGCCTTGGTGCCCCTCGGGCTCTGCTCTTGCTGCCATGGGAGCAGGTCATGTGTGGGGGTGGGGAGAGCAAGACTCCTGCCTGCGCTGTGTACCCCACTGGAGTCCTGGACCCACGTGTCTCCCCCACTCACCACGCAGCAGGGTGCCCTGCAGCTCCTGCTGCACCCAGGGCAGAGGCAGGGCCAGTGAGGCTGCGGGTGTATGGGCTGTGCCTGGGATGGCATGGAGCTTGCTGTGACTCCTGTGTGCCAAGGCTGGTCCCCTGTGCTGTCCCCGAGGCAGGGGGCTCCCTGCAGCCCCTGTGCCAGCGTGGTGATGCCTTGAGAGCCCCTGACCCCTGGAGATGGGCACTGACCTGGGGACATGGCGCTGGCTCCAGCTGCCTGGCACAATGTCTTGAAAGGCTCGTCCTGCTCCATGCTGTCCCTGCCCGCTGGGCATTGGTACAGGCTGGTGTCTGTGGGGCACTGTGTCCCATGGGGAGGGGAGGTGGCACCCACCAGTCCCCAAGCTGTGTGTGGCTGGGGCAGGCACAGTGCTGAATGAGCCTCTCCCCTCGGGT